CAAGAATCCCTTGCAAAAAATAAGGTAAAGTGGACATTCGCGCGCGCAAGACGAAATCCTTCCAAAAGCTTAGTGTTCGCAGCGATTTTAACATAAAAACATCAAAAAACCAATGGTTTTTCAACAAAAAAATGTCAAAATCTCATCCCGCGCGCTCTTGCGGATTCGTAGGAAACCCAACACTTTTTAAACATTTCTGTCAAACGGGCTTTTGCGAGCAACTTTTTCGAACTTCTGCGACAACGGTTGCGCACCTGCCAGGGCCATCATCCCTGTCAAATAATACCATGCGGGACACATTCGTTTTTTCTTCGCGCGCGCACGCCGTCGTCGTCGGCCGCGGGGCCCTGAATAGTAGCCACGGTCGTCCGCATGCCACGAAGTGAAGTGTCCGAACGTCATAGGGCGGGAAGCTGGGTGTGGGTGGTGGCGAAGAGTCGTTTGGAAATTTGGTAGAGCTTGAACCGGCCCCCCCACAAAGTGGGGGTATTGCCCGCCTCCTATGAAAACCCTGGCACTGGTGAGAACGGAGTGTCCCCACGTGCTAGTAATTGTTGTTGTTGTTGTTGTTGTTGTTGTTGTTGTTGTTGTTGTTGTTGTTGTTGTTGTTTGTTGTTTGTTTTTCTTTGATTATTTTTGTTATTGTTTATGATTGTTTTTACTATTATTTCTTATTTTTATTCTTCCCTCTTTCAGAGGAGGAAAATGAACCATACCTCTACCCTTTCTGGTTTTCCCCTTTTGGGGGCCTCCTGGGCGGCCCTCGTCACAACCGCTGGATTCGCCTCGAAATCCTGGTCAGAACATACCCCAGGAGAGGTCTGGGGAGTAGCAGTATGGGTACCTTTTGGTTTCCCAATTTTTTCCAGCAGCCAGGGCATATCCCAGAACAAGAAACGGCATACACACAAACTTTTGGCGCTCCGCGCGGATCTTTTGGATCCGCGCTGGGCACCCCCTGGCGGCGCCTCCGGCGCCGCCCCTGGCGCGCTCTGCGCGCCAGGGCTGGGGGGCACAGCGCGGATCCAAGAATTCCGCGCGGACCGTCGAGGGTTTATGTTTATGCCGTTTGTTCTTCTAACGTAGGCGTCCTGCTGCTGCGCATCTGGTGTGAACCATTTTCGGCCATCTGGAGCCATCTTGGAGGCCATCTTGGAGCATCGGACGTCCACTGGGAGCCATCGTGTGCTTTTTTTGGACGCTCTAACCCCTCTCGACCCCCCCCAGAAAGACCTCAGGGAGGGGAGGGAGAGGGTACCCCTGCCCGAAGGGAAGAGGGTTTTTGGAAACAGAGAGCTTGTTTGGCCACCTACGCCCAGAGGGATGGTGGGATTCATTCAAGTCGGTGAAGGCCCAGCTGCGACGACAACGACTCCCGCTTGGTATTTCCTCACACTTTACTCCTAACGGCGTTCTCTTCTGAGATCTTCTCGCGATCTACTCGAGTTGACGAATTGCCCGCGGGCGCGGTAGCTCGCATGATGGCCATGGCCACGCGCTGCACACGCAGAAGGCGCCGCTGATTTGTCAGGAGCTGGTACGAAAAACAAACACCCCAAGAAGATTGCTGGCACGTAGATTCAGCGGGCTGCTACAAGGGAGGGGAAGCAACTGAAGGTCAAATTAGCTTCTCAGATCACATGTTCACAAGATGGTGGTCGTCGTTGTTGTTGCTATCGTCGTCGCAGTCGCTGTCACTGTCACCGTTGTCGCCGCCTCTGCCATTGTCGCCGCGCAGGTTTTTTAGCCGTGGCTGCTGTTGGTGGTTGTCGTCTATTCGCCGTCGATGCCGCCGCCGTCGTTGGCACGCGCGCCGCCTCTGCCGGCGCTGCGGCTGCCGCCGCCGTCGCTGGCAGCGTCGCCGCAGCCGCTGCTGCTGCCAGCGCCGCTGCTGCTGTTGTCGTCGACGTCGGTCGTTGTGATCGTCCTCATTTTTTGGGTAAAAGAGTATCTCTTCTCCCAGGCCGCACTGGTGCCTTCTCCTTGGCGCCGCCCGCCGATCGTTCTGCCACGTGCCCTTCTTCGTTCCCCTTCCTTGCCCCGATCGTCATCCTCGTCGTCTCTTCGATCTCTTCCACCTGCGTCCTCTCACGTCCTCCATCTCCCCGCCCTCGTCGTCTTCGTCATCGCTGTCGCCCCCCTTGCGCTTCGTCTTCTTCCTCCTGCTGCTGGGGCTGGCAGGTGCTTTGGGGCCTGCCTCTTCCGCTGCTGCTCGCCCAGGGGCGGTGGGGACGGGGCTGCGCAGTTTTCTCTGTGGCCTCCACGTTTGTGCCCAGTCCCCGCTTCACAGGGCGTGTTCTACCTCGTGCCCCTGCCCCCCCTTGCCCTGGGCCCTCGTCCTCGTCGCCAGCGTCTTCGTCCTCGCAGTCGTCCCCCCTCCCTTCCCTCCTGGCCTCCTGCTTCGGGACCTGCCTCTTCCGCTGCTCTCCAGGACGGCGGCGTAGCTCCTTCTGGCGGCCAAGTGTGGGCTCAGTCCCCGCTTCAATGCTTCGATGAACGTGCTTTCCTCTCCCCCTCCTCCCCTCCTCCCCTCCTCCTCCTCCTCCTCCTCCTCCTCCTCCTCCTCCTCGCTCCTCCTCGCTTCTCCTCCTCGCTTCTCCTCCTCGCTCGTCCTCCTCCTCCTCCTCCTCCTCCTCCCTGTCATCCGCCCCATTCCTTCGGCGTCACCCCAACATACTAATACCGTGTGTGCGTCGCCCCCCTTCCCAGGGGCGACACGCGCGCCGAGAAATCTTCTAGTATGGGCTCCACGGCGGGCGCTTTTTTGGCCACCTCGCTCGGGAACCGATCTAGTACAAGATGCTCGTATCACCTGTTCGGGTCGGGCGCACGCCTCCGAGGAGGACGCCAGGTCCTTGTGCTTCCCATTCCCTGTCCTCCGAGGAGGAGACATGGTCCTACACGCCGCCTGGCATGTCCTCGTGCGTTCCCTTCCTCTCGTGCTCCGCTCATCCTTCTTCGTCTTCGGCACCGCCTGGTCCCGGGGCTTTGCCCCCTCCTGGCCTTGACGTGAGGCGCCTCCTTCTGCCCCCTCCTCTTTGTTAATTCAAGCTGTGCGCGGCCCGCTTAGCTTCGACCGGAAGAGGTGCGCTCTCGACCCACGAATCAAAAAGTTCCGCTCATCCTTCTCCTTGTCCTTGCCCTCGTTTGCGTGATCGGCCTCCCCCTTCTCTTCCCGGTCTCGTCCCCCCCGTCTCCCCTCCAGGTCTGGAGCACTCCATGAGCAAGGGCATCATCGCCGGCATCGCGCGGACCCTGGACATCGGCGAGCGCCCGATACGAGGCTGTTCTGGGAGCTGCTAGTGCCCGCGGGGGAGACGGCTCGTCGTCGTCGTCGTCGTCGTCGTTTTCGTGGTCGTTTTCGTCGTTTTCGTCGTTTTCGTCGTCGTCGTCGTCGTCGTCGCCGTCGTCGTCGTCGTCGTCGTCGTCGTCGTCGTCGTCGTCGTCGTCGTCGTCGTCTTCGTCGTCTTCGTCGAAGCGGTTGCCGTTGGTGCTGGCTGCTGGGATCCCACACTGGGTTCGGGCCTGGCTTCGGGCCGAGCTGCGCCTCTGCCTCCTGCTCGTGCTGCGGCGGCTGCAGCCGTCGACGGGCGCGGCGGCGGCGCGCCTAGCAGCGGCCACGGCGGCGGCCGCAGCCGACGCCGTATGAGTCGCCGTCGGCGCCGGCTGGCCCTCCGCCCCTCCCTTCCCCTGACGACCCTCCGCCCCTCCCCCCGGCGACCCTCCGCCCCAGCCCCACGACGGCCCTCCGCCCCTGCCCCCGACGACCCCCCGCCCCGGCCCCACGAACCCCGCCCCAGCCCCACGGCGACCCTCCCTTCCCCTGGCGGTCCTCCGCCCCAGCCCCACGTCGACCCTCCGCCCCTCCCCCGACGACCCGCGACGACCCCCAGTGGCACGGCGACCCACGACGACCACCCGTACGCCGCCGACGACCCTCGCCCCCCCCGACCCCCGCCCGCCCCCGTCGTGCGTGCTTGCCTGCTGCTCCTTTGCCGTCTCCTTTCCCCCCTCTCCTCCTGCTTGGGTGCCGCGTTTTTCCTCCGCCTCCTCCTCGCCCGCCTCCTCCTCGCCGGTCAGCACAGCCTGCCCAGATGCAGCGTGGCGGCGCGCAGGTCTGCAAAGCAGGCAAGCTGCGGTTTACCCGCCCATTTCGGAAATCGGCCACCTTCCATCCGTGTAGGGGCCGATGGCTCTTCCCACAGAGATCCGCTTCCTGCTCGTGCTGCTGTCGCGGCTGGTCCGCCAGCTGCTGCCGCGGCTCCCGTCGGCACGCCTGCGGCTTTGGTGGACTCATCGACCTTGCGCTTCTTGGCTCTGAGGCGCGGCGCCGGAGCTTCGATCCGGTCGCGGCGGTCCTTGAGGTCGGTGGCTGCGGGGCCGAGGGTGTCGCCAGCTGCCTCGCCGAACTGCTGCTCGAAATCCAGCCCGAGGGCCTGGAGCCGGTCGAGCTCCTCCCTCGTGACGTCGAGGCTCCCCACGCAAAACAGGGCTAGGATCGGGAAAAATCGCTCCAGAGCGTTCCGGAGCGCTCTCAGAGCGTTCCGGAACGCTCTGGAGCGGCCGCGGCGCCCAATACATCCTCCAAACCCGCCGATTCTCAGAGATTTCGAGTTATCCCGATCCGATTTTGTCCCGATCTTCGCGTCGTTTTAGCACAGGGCCAAGGAGCAGCTTCGGTCGGAGCATGAGGCTCGCGCGGTCACAGCGCAGCTGCCTCCTCCCGCGCCCGCCCCGACGCAGTCGAGACCGAGGCCACGGGCACCGCCGTGCACCTCCCCGGCCTCCTGGAGAAGCCCGACGGCGCCGCCTTCGTGGGCGGCGGCCTCCTGGACGTGCTAAAACGACGCGAAGATCGGGACAAAATCGGATCGGGATAACTCGAAATCTCTGAGAATCGGCGGGTTTGGAGGATGTATTGGGCGCCGCGGCCGCTCCAGAGCGTTCCGGAACGCTCTGAGAGCGCTCCGGAACGCTCTGGAGCGATTTATCCCGATCCT